TTTTAATACAAGAGAGGATTTTGCTCGCTTTAGAAACTGCAGCTTGGCATTGCATGCCATTATTAAGCTTGTGATCTACCAAAACTCCCAGATCCTTCTCCACCATTGATTACCCCAGTTGTACTCCCCCTAGTATGTATGATGCATGCATATTCATAATCCCCAAGTGCATAACCTTACATTTATCAACATTAAACCTCATTTGCCACAGTTGACCAATTAAACAGTGCATTGAGGTCAGCTTGTAAGTTGAAGACATCCTGTAAGGACATTATTCCACTGCACAGCTTGGTGTCATCTGCAAAGACTGAAATGGGATTTTTAATCCCAGACCCTATATTGTTTATAAATATATTAAAAAGTAAGGGTACACCACTGATGACCCCAGACCATTCAGAGTATGAATCATTAACCACTACTCTCTGAATACAATCTTTTAACCAGTTTTCTATCCATTTACATACAGATTTTTCCAAGCCCGTTGACTTTAACTTACACATTAGCCGTGTGTGGGGAACTGTGTCAAACGCTTTTGCGTTTATAAAGTAAAAGTAAGTAAGTAAAAGTATAAATATTTTTTTTTTCCAGCAAGAACTCATTTATGTCGTCTTTTATTAAAGTCTCCAGTATCTTCCCAACTATAGAAGTTAAACTAACAGGCCTATAATTACTTGGTAAGGAGTTTGACCCCTTTTTAAATATTGGCACCACATTGGCCTTATGCCAGTCCAGTGGTACTATGCCAGTCATTAAAGAGTTCCTAAAAATTAGAAACAATGGCTTTGAAATGACAGAGCTCAATTCTTTAAGGACCCGGGGGTGTATGCCATCCGGACCAGGTGCTTTATTCACCTTTATACTGTCTAAATAGTTTTGTATCATATCAATTGTGAGCCAATGTGGATCAGCTGGAGCTGTGTCAATACCATGCCCATTATGGACAAGAGCTCCCCCATACTCCTTTGTATACACAGAGCTGAAGAAGGTATTAAATAAATTTGCCTTCTCTTTATCCCCAGTCACCCACTCTAGATTATTTTGTAAAGGGCCTACATGCTCGGACCGGACCTTTTTACTATTAATATATTTGAATAATTTTTTGGGGTTGGTCCTGCTATCTCTTGCAATCTGTCGCTCGTTTTCAATTTTTGCGGCCTTTATTTCCTTTTTGCATATTCTGTTATATATTTTTGTAATCTTTAAAGATAATAGCATTCCTTCGTTTTTATATTGGATAAAAGCTCTTTTCTGATTATCTATAGCCTTTTTAACTTTGGCCGTAAGCCACATAGGTTTGATTTTTAGCCTTTTAAACTTGTTGTCCATGGGAATATATTATGCAGTGTGTTCACATACAGTCTTTTTGAAGAACTCCCATTTATGTGTTGTGTTCATCAATGCCAATATTCCCTCCCAGTCTAAGTCTTGGAGAGCAGCTCTCAGCCTTGGAAAATGACCTCTCTTGAAATTGAGTGGATTTATTTTTCCCGTATGTGCTTGCTGTTTACAGCTAACAATAAATGAAATCATGTTATGGTACCCAGATGTTCTTTTATATGGACATTCGTAATAAGCTCTGCATGGTTTAAGATTACCAGGTCCAGCAGAGCGTCATTCCTAATTGGGGCCTCTATGAACTGTACCATAAAATTGTCCTGTAGTAGGTTTAAAAATGTTTGCCCTTTAACTGTTTCTGCAGTACCATTACTCCAGTCAATTTCCGGGTAGTTAAAATCCCCCATTATTATCACTGTCCCAGCCCTTTCGATATGTGCAAGGAGCTGAGTCTCCACCTCCTCATTAACACTGGGAGGCTTATAACAAACTCCAATTATTACCTTTGTAGTACGCACCCCCATGTGCAGTTCCACCCATAATAATTAATATAATATAATGATATGTTTGTTGTCTCCGTTTAGTGGGGAACAAACGTCTTATCACTGTATAAATATGGGACAACATTTTTTTTAATTTTTTTTTTCTACACCTATTGGGAGACCAAGCAGATGTTTCAGTGATTCAAGTGGAATGGAAGTTTTTCTGCTAGTTTAGACAGCAGGGAATTAAAGCGGAGCTCCAGTTAGCAGCTACAAAAACTAGAGCTGCTGACTTTTAAAAAACAGCCACTCACCTGTCCAAGGATCCAGTGGTGTGTTCACACCAGCTGGGTTCACTAGGTACAATGCTGTAGAGCAGAGTTTCTCAACCAGGGTTCCGTGGATTTCTGCTTCTCAGATAAGTTCCAAGTGACACCATTGATCCTTTTAGCTACATGTAAAGGGGTTATTCTTTCCAATGACCACAAGTGTAAGGAGCATTCTTCCCATTGACCATCACACTAATGTATCATTTGTTGTTGCTATAGTCATTTATAGCAGGGGTTCCCTGAGACTGAAAAGTTATTTCAGGGGTTCCTCTGTGTTGAAAAGGTTGAAAAAGGCAGCTGTAGAATGAACTCTACAGAGTTGCTGCCCCTCGTACATACAACACTAATTAGGCACCAATTAGGACAACAGGTCACCCCTTTAAACATATGCTAATTGATGAGACCCAGTACTCAACACCTCAGCTTTAGAGTGGAGCTCTGCTTTAACTTTACCCCAAAAAGATACAATGCCTGAGCAGGTCCTCAAAATGTGATACAATTTCCCCACCTTATTGTACCTTATTGTACCTAATTGTACCTTACAGACAGAGGGAAAAAGTACAAAAACTCAGGAGTACAATACCAACACGATACTATTTTGTATGCATTTTCTTTATAATTTGTACATATGGAGCTCTTATGGGCTTGTGACCAGATTGTTTATGATGTCTCTATAGAAAGTTTATGTCCCAGAACTTTTTCCCACTTCAACATATACTAAATGCTAAACTAATAAAATGTGGGCAAGTTTTAAAAATGCCAAAATGTTTAACAGTATGTTTTCTATACTAAGTCAGGATGGGCTACAATTGGGCTTAGGGTCCTTTCACACGGGCATTCCGTTTTTTTCATCAGTTCAGTCAAGTTTTTCCAAGAAAAAACAGATCAGTTCACATAGGTTTTTCATCAGTTTACATCTGTTTTTTGTCTGTTTTCATATCTGTTTTTCATCCATTTACATCCGTTTTTGTCTGTTTACATCCTTTTTATTGTCCATTTACATCCATTTTTCATCCGTACCATTTTTTATTAACAGAAGAAAAATAGGTTAACCACTTCCTGTCCGGACACTTTTACCACCTTCCTGTCCAGGGCAATTTTCAGCTTTCAGCGCTATCACACTTTGAATGACAATTGCGCGGTCATGCAACACTGTACCCATAGGAATTTTTTTAGCATTTTTTTAGACAGATAAAACTTTATTTTGGTGGTATTCACCGCTGGGATTTTTATTTTTTTTGCTATGTAAATGAAAAAGTCCAAAAATGTTGAAAAAAAGTGTTTTTCTTATAACATTTTGCAAATAAACAATCTTTCATCATAAATCTTGACTGAAATATATTCCATTATCTTTTTAGTAAAAAAAAAAAATAAGCCAAATTAGTTTATTATAACCAAAAATTATAATTTTAAAAAATTTCTTCTACATTTTTATTTATTTTTTTATATTATTATTTATGTTTTTTTTTTTTTTACATACTGTCACCCTAGCAGTACAGTGTCACCATGGTGACACTGTACTACTTGTGGGGGGGTGATGAAGATTTTTTTTTTTTACAGTGATTGCTTTTACACCCATATAGGATGTAAAAGCAATAATTTCTCCTTCTTTCTGTCTGCATTCTTGCAGCCATTGAGAAATACTGAGTGAGCTGTGATTGGTCACAGCTTGTCACATGGTACAAGGCTGTTGTGAATAGCCTTGTACCATGTGACCTCTGTGATCATTCACAGATTTCACATGTAGTAAGCAATGATGTCATCCATTTACATCCACTAGTCCATAGAAATACATGGGTGTCCGATTTTCATAAGTAAACGGACAGATGAAAAACAGACATACCAAACACCCGTGTGAAAGGAGCCTTAGAATATACAATGAACATGAAAGGAACTGATCAAACACATCCTATTCAAACAATACATAAGATTTCCTTACACTCTGGTATGTGCACTCTGTCATCCACTACCAAAGCAATAAATGGGACATATTTTGTGTGATTCAGTGGCATTTTTTGGAGAAAGCATTGTCCAGAATAAAAGAAGGTTCCCTCAAAGGGAAGTAGATTTCACTGTGGTCTGAGCCATAAATCCTGGAAGGTGGGAAGATTTCAATGTGAAGTGACTCGAGTGGCAGCATTTAATGGTACAACTTTTACATACAGTGACAAGCTGAAGGGCAGGTAGCAGAGGATGCTTTAGCAAAAGAGGGGTGCAAAAAGGGCAGGACCTGCAACTTAGTTCAGCTCCCAGCTTCAAAGAGGAAGTGATGAGGCGGCTCTATAGCCACCAATCACTTGCACAGAACGGGCAGCAAACCTGCTCTTTGAAAGTGAAATCTGACAGCCCTGTCAGACTTTCGCTTTCTTGGTCAGCGCTGCTGGCTATAGCCTGCAACGCTGACCAGTGTATTCTGATGACATATGTCAGAGTACAATAGCTCAGCAGGAAGGATTCCCCCATCCACAATGAGTATGTGCATGGGGGAATCGTGTCAGTGATTTTGATTCAACCATTTGGTTGAACGAAAAAACTCATCCATCTATGGGCCGCCTCTTAATATGTGATACTGTACTTGCGGAGTCTGAAACAGGGCTAAAATACTTTGCTCCCATGATACAATGGGAGCTAATTATAGTGTGCCATTAGCTACCTGAGTAGCCAGTGAGCATGCTGCAGTGGAAAGGAAGAGTGCGGACACATTACTTAGGCTCCATGTACACTGCAGCTGATAAACTCACGTTTAGGAGCTGTTCAGCTTTTTTTTTTCAGCAGCCCCTGAACTCACCCTAATGTTTTCCTATGTGTCCATGTACACATCTTTGTTTACAGTTATTTACAATTGTTTTTTTGAATGCAGAAAAAACTTGCATTCAGCGTTTTGAATGCAAAACGCTTGTAAATGCATCTAAATGCGGCAAATCGCACTTACAGTGGGGATCGAAAGTTTGGGCACCCCAGCTAAAAATTTGTATTAATGTGCATAAAGAAGCCAAGGAAAGATGTAAAAATCTCCAAAAGGCATCAAATTACAGATTAGGCATTCTTATAATATGTCAACAAAAGTTAGATTTTATTTCCATCATTTACACTTTCAAAATAACAGAAAACAAAAAAATGGCGTCTGCAAAAGTTTGGGCACCCTGCAGAATTTATAGCATGCACTGCCCCCTTTGCCAAGCTGAGACCTGCCAGTGTCATGGATTGTTCTCAATCATCGTCTGGAAAGACCAGGTGATGTCAGTCTCAAAGGTTTTAAATGCCAGACTCATCTGACCTTGCCCCAACAATCAGCACCATGGGTTCTTCTAAGCAGTTGTCTAGAAAACTGAAACTGAAAATAGTTGACGCTCACAAAGCTGGAGAAGGCTATAAGAAGATAGGAAAGCATTTTCAGATGTCAATATCCTCTGTTCGGAATGTAATTAAGAAATGGCAGTCATCAGGAACAGTGGAAGTTAAAGCAAGTACTGGAAGACCAAGAAAAATATCAGACAGAACAGCTCGCAGGATTGTGAGAAAAACAATTCAAAACCCACGTTTGACTGCACAATCCCTCCAGAAAGATCTGGCAGACACTGGAGTTGTGGTACACTATTCCACTATAAAGAGACACTTGTACAAATATGGTCTTCATGGAAGAGTCATCAAAAGAAAACCTCTTCTACGTCCTCACCACAAAAATCATTGTTTGAACTTTGCAAATGAACATATAGACAAGCCTGATGCATTTTGGAAACAAGTTCTGTGGACCGATGAGGTTATTAAAATTTAACTTTTTGGCCGGAATGAGCAAAGGTACGTTTGGAGAAGAAGGGGCACAGAATTTAATGACAAGAACCTCTGTCCAACTGTTAAGCATGGGGTTGGATCAATCATGCTTTGGGGTTGTGTTGCAGCCAGTGACACAGGGAACATCTAACGAGTAGAAGGAAAAATGGATTCAATAAAATTTCAGCAAATTTTGGATGGTAACTTGATGCCATCTGTGAAAAAGCTGAAGTTAAAGAGAAGATGGCTTCTACAAATGGATAATGATCCTAAACACACCTCGAAATCCACGGGGAAATACATCAAGAGGTGTAAAGTGAAAGTTTTGCCATGGCCTTCACAATCTCCTGACCTCAACATAATTGAAAATCTATGGATAGACCTTAAAAGAGCAGTGCGTGACAGACAGCCCAGAAATCTCAAAGAACTGGAAGGCTTTTGTAAGGAAGAATGGGCAAAGATACCTCAAACAAGAATTGAAAGACTCTTGGCTGGCTACAAATAGCGTTTACAAGCTGTGATACTTGCCAAAGGGGGCAGTACAAGATATTAACTCTGCAGGGTGCCCAAACTTTTGCAGACGCCATTTTTTTGTTTTCTGTTATTTTGAAAGTGTAAATGATGGAAATAAAACATAACTTTTGTTGACATATTATAAGAATGTCTAATCTGTAATTTGATGCCTTTTGGAGATTTTTCCATCTTTCCTTGGCTTCTTTATGCACATTAATACAAATTTTTAGCTGGGGTGCCCAAACCTTCGATCCCCACTGTATAAGCGTTTGCGTCTGAATTTTTTTTTTTTTAATTCTTCCAATGCCCAATGCTATCCAGAGCCTTTTTTTCATCATGAAAAATGCATGCAACGCATTTTCAAGGTACTCAGATGGACAAAACACTGAAAACAGGATGTTCCTACCAAGCTTGTCACACATTGTAATGACCAATTCACACCTCAGACCTCTCCCACCCTTGGAAACAAAAAGATATCTTAAGGACCATTTACACCTCAAATTCCTCAAGAAGACCCCTGCAAGGAGGCCTTAATGACTCCATCAGACACCTTTCCCCACTTGGAAACAAAAGAAATGTTAATGAGCAACTCACACCTAAGCTAATCTCAACACATACTGCTCTCTCTGCTTCTACTCTCTGTATTTCTCTGAAACAGTCTGAAATAGTTAATAATTTACCACTTTTCAGTGCATTCTGGGCATTTGGGAGGTTCTCCTGTGCTTATCTTTAAAAAGCGCTTCTAAATGCAAACGCACATAAACGCGTCTAAACAGACGTTTTTAACCTACGCTTTCCAGCAGTCAGTTTCCATCGTTCAGAAGTGCCCCGTGTACACGGGGCCTTAGACTGTCAGGTCTTAGCTTCTCTTTGATCTCAGAGGAAGTAGCTAAAAGGGTTTGTAGTTATATTCAGTAATTTCAAAATACATTTGCTGTTCATGTCATGCTTTTCCATTCTAAGAAAGTTATTTAAATGGAGGCAAGCTACTTTATATTAGTAAAGGAGCTATTCAGAGTTCCCAACTGAGTGAAAATAAAATGCTTATAAATATGGAACAATTGATACATTACAAAAAGGTCTTTTTCTAGCAACTTGTTCTAAAATAAGACCCGTAGATGTCACAAAGCTTTCTGATATGATCTTGTTAGAGAGCTGCATTGTAACTAGTGCAGGAAAATATCTGATAAAGCTTTTAAACATAGACAGGCTGTTTCCTGACAGCTATGTTAACAGCAACGGTCTGCCACAGCTGGCAGAGCCAAAGTTATTTGATGTTTTCAGTAGTTCAGTATCTCAGCAATGTGCACAATCAGGATGTGAGTTTTAAGCAAACAATCTTGGCCTGACATTTATGTAATGGGACCACTAAATATATATGTCCACTTTTTGTACGTTTATCAGATATGATTGCCTAATTTGTATTGCCAGGTTGGCCCTTTTTATATATATTTTTCTATAATCAGTACAGATATTCAATGTGCCTGTTGGTCTCTTAACATGAAGCCTATTATCTTTTGATCCTCATGATCAATTCACATTATCATACTGCATTTTTTGTACACTTAATATTGTATAGTCCCTGTAGCAAGTGTTTTGATTTGTATCCATCACCGGTTTATCCACCCAAAATCCCATACTTTATATCCATTCCTTTTATGCACACGTGTTCATCAATTAATATTTTTAGGAGTATAATTGTATATAATTCATATTTGTTATGTATAATCCCTCTATAAATCTTATATGATCTATTTTTGTTTTATAATACATCCAACCATAGTGTATTTCTACCTTCTATTATTTTTAACCTTACTCTTTTTACTCAACATTCTTAGCCCACAGCCATTATATATTATGACCACTTTTTTAGGACCATTTTTTAAATTGATTATACACTATATTGCCAAAAGTATTGAGACGCCTGCATTTACATGCACATGAACTATAATGGCATCCCAGTCTTAGTCTGTAGGGTGCAATATTGAGTTGGCCCACCCTTTGCAGCTATAACAGCTTCAACTCTTCTAGGAAAGCGCTCCACAAAGTTAAGGACTATGTCTATGGGAATGTTTGACCATTCTTCAGAAATGTATTTGTGAGGTCAGGCATTGATGTCGGACGAGAAGACCTGGCTCTCAGTCTCCACTCTAATTCATCCCAAAGGTGTTCTATCAGGTTGAGGTCAGGACTCTGTGCAGGCCAGTCAAGTTCCTCCACCCCCAAACTTGCTCATCCATGTCTTTATGGACCTTGCTTTGTGTACTGGTGCGCAGTCATGTTGGAACAGAAAGGGGTCATCCCCAAACTGTTCCCACAAAGTTGGGAGCATGAAATTGTACAAAATATCTTGGTATGCTGACGCCTTAAGAGTTCCCTTCACTGGAACTAAGGGGCCAAGCCCAACCCCTGAAAAGAACCCAACACTATAATTCCCCATCCATCCAACCTTTACACTTGGCACAATGCAGTCAGGCAAGTACCGTTCTCCTGGCAACTGCCAAACCCAGACACGTCCATCGAATTGCCAGACAGTGAAGCTTGATTTGTCACTCCAGAGAACACGTCTCCACTGCTCTGGTGGCATGCTTTACACCAGTGCACCTGACGCTTTGCATTGCACTAACAGTTGACAGTGGACTATTTAGTAACAAGGAAATTCCTTGGATGGACTTATTGCACAGGTGCAACCTATCACAGTACCACACTTAAATTCACTGAACTGCTATGAGCGACCCATTCTTTCACAAATATTTGTAGAAGCAGTGTGCATGACTAGGTGCTTTATTTTATACACCTGTGGCCATGGAGGTGATTGGAACACCTGAATCCAATGATTTGGAGGGGTGTTCCAATACTTTTGGTAATATAGTGTATATATGTGATCATTTAAGGGCCTGTGTCCCTATAAGCTCTATAAATAGGTGGCCCGGTTCCCTGCTCAATACACAGCAGTTCCCCCCTCAGCTTGACAAAGGAGTGTGCCTGTGTTATGATCCCAGTGTGCATACTCAGGAAAAAGTGTCACATTACGGCACACCCGATGATGTCATCATGCCGGCATGCATTCCACATGCGCTTGAATGCAGAAATCCGGGTTCCATCCTCCTGCCAGCTCCAGCCAGGACTACCCATCGCGGTTTCCAGTATTCACGGCGGTGAATTGGACAGCAACACTGGGGCGTCAACCCCCCCCTCTTGACAGACTAGATGTGCCTTTTATTCTCTCCCATCCTATAAGTCTGTTTACTTATGTGCAATAAACATAGTGTTACATCTATACTTGGAGGCACCTTTTTTTCTATTTTACATGTAGTAGTGTCTTGCAGCAGATTAGGCAGTGCCAAAACAAGGTCCTCTGGCACCCAAGAACAGTATGCAAAGCACAACTGAGATGGATGAAACATGTGCAATCAAATGTACAATGGCCAAGCTGCTGCAGGGCACAGAAATTACACTTTTTTTTTCTTTTTCTTGTTATATTTTGTTCAAATTTGGGATGTGGTGCTGTTGAGCTCCTCTCTGAACATTGCGACTATTGACACGTATTTCCAGTTTGACCAGATATATAATTTTCAAATGCTTTGTTCTACAATTTGTTTTGTTTATTTTGACACCAAAATAATTTACAGCTAAGATAGCTACAGACAGCCGTTATGAAAAAAATTAGGAGGTCTGCTTTTTTTTTTTTGTACACATAACAGCAATGTATGTATGCTTGCTAACAACGAAGGCTTTCTGTCATGTATCCTGTCAGCTCAGTCTTACAGATCACTTAGGGCTTTCTCTGTGTGATCAGTGGAGCTCTGCTATCATTTTGAAAGCCAGTCTGTCTGAAATTTATCAGGAGTTATATCACAGCTCCTGATATGAAGGATGGCTATCACATTAAGAGTGAAACCGATTACACAGATAGAAAGCCGCACTTTACCTAAGCAATCTACAGGACTGAGCTTTCACTTTTAAAAGCTTGGTCCTGCACAATGTAGAATGCCCAGTGATGTGGAGTTTGGCTCCCACTCCAGCTCCCCCCCCCCCCTTCCCGGCAACATGACACCCAGGGCCTGGAGGTTACCCAAAATGTGGATATGGCTGGTTTACGAATAATCATGGCAGGACATATGTTGGACTACAGTAGAACACCACTGCAATCCAGAATGGGAGAGTCTGCCATGCTACTGTCGCTTTAGTGGTATGGCTTAGTGAGCAAAGCAGTGCTTTGCCCTACTTCACTGTACAATACCAACAGCTAGGGGGTCTGTGCTAAGCACAGTATATTACTGACTTCTTCTCACAATTATTTGGCTTGTGATGTCACATGACTGAACTCAAGAAGCTACTTACAAGCCTTCCTGTGTCATTTAGAGCTAACGGTGAAAGCAAGTTACAAAATATGCTGCACACTTACTGGGCAGCCTTTTTCTAAAACGTGGCAGTCTCTTTTTGTGTGCAGCCGTGTTTGTATTAGGACAGCCTGGCTTGTGGGTGCAGAATTATTACTATAGTTGAGGTGGTGAAACAAAGTACCACATCTGCAAATTTAAAAGAATGCTTACAAATAGAAAAATCAGCCTTTTAAAGGTACCAAACCACAACTGGATGTACAAAATACACTTTTTATTATATCACATATATTTTTTTAAATTACATAGGATCACAGATCATAAAATAATATTACCAGAAAAACAAGTGAATAAATGGTACAAAGGCCTCAATGTACAGCACCCCCAAAACCACTGAGCAGCTATAACAAAATACTTGAGTTTACTTTTTACACAGATGTGTTATATTGGAATTACGCCCACATCAAAGTGCTAATTGTTCAGACGCAGGGGTCTTCAAACTATGGCGCTCCAGATGTTGAGGAACCGAAAGTCCCATGAGGCCTTCCAAGACTCTGGCGGCTACAGGCAAGACTCCCAGAGGCAGAGGCATGATGGGACTTGTAGTACTTCAACAGCTGGATGGCCATGGTTTGGAGACCCCTGGCCCAGAGGAATGGGGTTAGAGAGACACATTTTGTAGACACAGTTTCTGCATCCTCAGCAATGTAGCAAGGGTAAATATTGTATAAGGTAATTTTTTGTTGGCCAGTCACACCATGGGTAGGACCATAAATCTTCAACCAGTGAATGCAGGGGCAGTTAAAGAAAGAGTGGAACACCAGAGTTCTTAGGCCACTTATAGTGACTTAATAAAGTAATGGAATAGACAAATCTAAAAGCCTAACAAAAGTGGTATTATTACATAACACCTGATATAGTAGACAACTCAGATGGATCCTTTAAAAGTAACATTTAGGCCAAGGTAGTGCAATTGTCCAGCTCAGACTGGGAACACAGAAGCAATTCCTCATTGCTTCTGTGCACCCAACCTGAGCTGGACAGCAGGACTACCTTGGATATACTCTTATGTTGGGGTGTCCAGAAAGCAGTATCCACTGCACTATTTCATGACCCATATTGACTCTTTATTTTCTGGTCAGGATCATGTTTCACTAAGACTTATTATATTGTACTATAATGATACCTTCCCCTGATGGATCCCCCCTTTTTGACTACTTACTATGCTATATGGCAATGATATTCCTATTGGACTCTTGGATGTAACCATATTTTTCAGTTTAATAAGTTCTTAAAAGTGGGCTAACAGTACTGTCACGCACCTGTGGTAGTGAGCCCTTGTAGATCGCCAACTTGGGGTTCCCCGGGGCACAGAGTCTAAGCCCCAGCCTGCTTCTTCACCAGAGCCCCTGATGGTGGGGACGGACTTGCAGCAAGCTAGAACGAGGTCACGACCCCCAGGTACGCCCAGCTGAGGATGCAGAGACCACTCGCGTGAGCAAAGTGTAATGGCAGGAGACAACAGGAAAGCCAATAGACAAGCAAAGGTCAGAACGGGTGGAAATCAAGCACAGTCATTGGACGAAGCCGGGGTCGGTACACAGGTAGTCAGATACAGGAGTAGCAACCGACAGGAGCTCAGAGAACAAAGAAGTTGCTCAGGCAAGGTGGGCTAGACTGAGCATGTCTTATATAGACAAGTAAACTAGGAGGTGGGCCAGGAAGTGATGGAAGGGAAGGAAATAAAACCCAGAGAATAGCAGACAACGCCCATAGGCGAGCACAGACAAACCACACATGTGAAAGGAATCAGGAACAGCACTGCCGCAAGTAGGCAAGAATACACAAACAAAAAACTGCAGGCTAACTTCTGGCAAGCACCTTCTAAAGGATTCTTCTGAGTGACCTGCCATATAAAGGATGTTACTATACCCCCCCCCCCCCCCCGGCAGGTGAAAGGAGCTCATCCAAGACACTGCATCTAACCAACAAATGGTCTTCATCAAAGCTCCTGATGCTGGAGATGGGCTTGGTACCCTTATCCTCCCAGTGTACAAACTGAGACCAGGTCGTGGCCTTCAGGACTGCACCACCAAGGTGGAGGTCTAGACAGGCAGCAAACAAGAAGATGGGCAGGTCAAAACAGGTCAACAACAAACAGGCAACTTGCAGGCAAGTATTATAGCTGATTAGCTCTTAGGTGACTGGCAAAGGGCACAGCAGCAGTCACTTCAAAAGGAAAGCATGAAATACAGGACTCACAGGAATGGCAGAAGTATAGTGCAACTGTTAGGAATGGACTGGCCAGCAATGGTGGGACTCACCTGCCTTTTGATCTGCAGTACCAGGGCTGGCCAGCGGGTGTTCCCTGCAATCAGAGACTCAACTTTGCAGCCAGCTAACACCTGTAACTGATGATGCTGGGGTATTTAAGGGATGGCCAGACCCACAGACTCTGCCTTGGTGTTGTGTTTCTCTTGGCCCTGTATCCTGTTCCTGCTCTCTGTTCCTGTCTGATTCTCTGCTACCTGTCCTGATCCCTGGCTTGTGACCCTGACCATCTCTCTGCTTGACCCTCTGTACTACGCTGCTTGCTACCTGCTGAACCTGGCCTGTGACCCCGACCATTCTCTGCTTGCTCCCCCTGTACCTACCTGCCCTATTGATATTGACCCGGCCTGCAACCTGACGACGCTTGCTTGTATATACTGTTATCTGTGGGTGGTTGGTTTGGTTTGGTTGCACTGTGTTATGTTTTAGTATTGCACTGCGTTTATGTTTGTATTGTTAGTGTTAATAAATTGTATTGTTTATCACATATCTGAAGTCTGCGTTTCCCTGCATCAGTCACACACCTCTGGTCATACCCGGGAGCCCTGACAGCAACACTGGGGTGCTGGTCTTGATGGCAGTAGGACATGGAATTATTTGTAAGACACACTTAGTGCACTGAGGTTCAGGGCTCACAGGGGGACAGGAATACAATAGCATCTTAGCAGCAAAGCTAACAATATGTTTGAGGAACACTGAAGTGCACAGGCAAGATACAGTTGAGGCACATGAGGAGTCTAGGATAGGTGGGGTACTGGCGGGAACAGCCCAGCCAACCCAGCTAGCCCATGCATACAGCAAAGTTGAGAACCCTCAGAGGGCTAAGGCTCCTGAAGGAGTAGATGGTTTGTGCTACAGACAATTCCCGGGTTGCAGTTCTATGACTCACCCGAAAAAGCAACTACTGTCAACTAAGGGCCGATAAGCCAGTAAGAATCTCTTGCAGAACGAGGTGCAGGGATCACAGGACAGTAGGGAGTACAGTCCAAGCTGGCAGGAGTGAATTGAGATACACAGACACTGGGAACAGGTGCACAGGGACTCACAGGAAAACCAAGAGTGAGTAGCAATGCAAACAGGATTCTCCAGAAGCAGGAGGAAGTGCATGGATACACAGAGCAGGAAACAGACTAGAAATATGCTGGGTGACACTGAAGTAGACTGCAGACTCAGCTGATACTAACAATTAGCACACAGGAATTCATAGGGGATCACAAAGGGGCTGGAAGGCTAAAATCTGGCAAAGGTAAACAGAGGCACAAGGACACTGTAATGCTCAATGACACAACATGGATACAAGTTGAAAACAGGAACACATTGAAAGAGACTGGAGGTAAAAGGGATCACACTGGAAGGCATTGGGAGAGACATACAAAGAGACACTAGAAACAAGGGAGGAAGGGGGGGGGAGTGTCTACCTACATGATCACTAGAAGTCTCCCAGAATGTGTAGTGTAGGAGTCACTTGGAATACTTTCAATAAGCCAGGGACACTAGGAAAAGTTTTCACTAGGAAACACAGGGGACACATTCTTCTCTGCTTGGAATGGGGGGTATGCTTGGGAATGCTGTGGACACTGGCAACCTTATCCACCAAGAATGGAGGTAGGAATCTTCTCTGCTAGGAATTTTCTTGGAAACCTCTGGAAGCCCGAGTGCTAGGAACACTAGCTGTTGCTCAGGCAATGCCTGAGGGAATGAGCCCATCCTAAATATTGGGACATGGCCTGGCTGGGCTCGGTGTGTAGCTAAATGATTAAACAGCAGGTGGTTAACCAGTCTTGAACACAATGGGTAACAGCAGTACCTTGAAAGTTAAACTTATGAAACTACATGTACCAGTATGTCTGTTGGTCTTTGGGAATAGAAGAGACAGATCCTCTGAGTACTTTTAACAGTGTTGTGTGGTTATTCTGCTTTTGTTAGACGTTTTGATCTGTCCACGTCTAACCTCTTTGGATCTTTTGATCTGTCCACTTAACCTCTTCACGCTGGACATATGCAGGGCTGTCTTAATGCATGAGCACCCCTGGGCTAAGCCCAGGGGCCCCAGGTCCATAGTGGTTCCATGGTAATCTTTGTTGGGACAGTCATGCTTTTCACTAAGATAAGCCAAGGGATCAAGCGCAAAAAAGTACCATCTAGTCAAATACCAATCACTGCCACTTTGTAAACACTAATATAGTGAAGCCATGTGTCCAGAAAACAAACAGCGCTGTGAGAGTGAATAATGTATTTACCTCCCACAGAGGTGTACCTTTAATAGGAGTTTATTTAGATAAAAACATCCAGATTCTGGTGACAAGGGCAATGTGAGAGAACTGTCCGCTCCTCAGGTGTAACAAGGGACAAGGGAGAGAGTGCTCCGTGAACAGCTGGAGTCACCGGAGCTCGTGGTGTCCCAGAACTGACATCACCGCAATCTCTGAGGAAGCGGAAGGAGGATCCTGCCTTTGAGCGCAAACTGGGTGTCAGGGATCCCGGCCGCTCAGCGTCGCGCGCATGCGCAGATCGCCCGACTCTTCCTGGCCGGCGAATACAGAGATCGCGGCGGCGGCCGCGCATGCGCAGTAGCGATCGCGGCAGGCCGCGCCAATGGAAACTCAGGGGCGCCCTATTTAAATCTGCCCTGTGCATTTCCAAAGTGCCGCAAGGTCTTGTTCCTGTTCCTGTGTTCCTGCTAGTACGTTTCCTTGTTGCCAAACTCTGCCTGTTCTGATTTCGCTGACCCTCTCCTGCTCTGACCCCGGCTCGTTCCTGACCATCCCTCTGACCGACTCTCTGTACCACGCTGCCCGCTACCTGCTGAACCTGGCTTGTGACCCCGACCATTCTCCGCTTGCTCCCTCTGTACCTTGCTGCCCGCGCACGATACCGACCCGGCTAGTCTGACCTCGCTCACTCCTAGCAGTCGTCCATCCATCCCGCTCGGATCGGGATCTGTCATCCCATCCATCCCGCTCGGATCAGGGTCTGTCATCCCCTTCACAGCAGACTCATCCCGGGCACATACCCTCAGCGGGACCCCTCTGCCACCGCCGGGGGTGCCCAGGGACGCGACCTGGTTCCAGTCTTGCACCAAGTCCATCCCCACCATCAGGGGCTCTGGTGAAAAGGCAGACTGGGACTTAGACTCCGCGTCCTGGGAAACCCCGTGCCGTGGACCACTAGAGATCCCGCTGGGCGGAGCCTGACAGTACCTTGCGGCCATGACTGAGTCTGGAAGGGGAACCTTCCCCCTGGACGATTTGTGCCAACACATTGCCACCCTCACAGAGGGGGTTAGGCTCCTCCAGGAGGGCTATACAGAATTAGGTGACCGTTTGCAGACCTTAGCCACCCCTACCGGGCAGGTTAAAGAGCGCCCTGGGGAAACACTAGTTCTGACATCTGCACCGGAGCCCCGAGTTCCCTTACCAGAACATTTTTTCGGGGATCGAGGTAGATTCAGGAGGTTTCGTATTTCCTGCCAGTTATACTTCGACCTCCAGCCTCGAACGTTCTCATCAGAAACCATAAGGGTCGGGTTCATTATTTCTTTATTACAAGAGGAACCCCAAGCCTGGGCCCACCGACTACTAGAAAACCGAGACCCTCAGTTGGGTTCAATAACAGCATTTTTTAAAGCGATGGCGCTCTTATATGACGACCCAGATACGGCCACGACGGCCGAAATGTCCCTACGTACCCTAAGGCAAGGTAATCGGGCAGTGGAGGAATACGCCGCCGAATTCAGGCGTTGGGGTGGTGACACCAAATGGAATGAGGCGGCCCTGTCTCACCAATTTCGCATGGGGTTAACCGAACCACTGAAGGACGAGCTGGCCCGAGTTGACATGCCTGAAACTCTTGAGGGCCTAATAACCTTATCTATCCAGATTGACCGCCGGTTGCGGGAACGTAGGAGGGAAAGGTCCAGCCAAGAGCAGGGATCAGCCAGGCGACTTCCAGTCCAGACCAAGTCTCCACGGGTCAACCGGAACCAGGAATTCACGAATACGTCAAATCTCAGGTCAGCAGGAGGGGTTCGGTCTCCACTAACGTCTGAGGAGCGCCAGAGGCGTCAGGTAAACCGGCTTTGTTTTTATTGTGGGGAGGCGGGCCATATAGTACATACCTGCCCTGCCAAGAGGAGGAGGTTTCCTGCGATATTTTCCACGGTTACTCCTAAGGTTAAGAACGACACCAGTTATCTAGCAGTATCTATCTCCTTGCAGCTGCCAGGGAGAACTGTGGTAACTACCGCAATTATAGACTCTGGAGCATGTAGTTGCTTCATAGATCTGGATTTCGCAGCTCAGCAGCAGATTCCTTTACAGTCAAAGGAGACAGGGTTAAATATCTTCTTAGCTGACGGGTCCCAAATTAGGTCAGGGGTAGTGGACCGTGAAACTCCACCTATTTTTACTACCGTGGCCAACCATCACCAGGAGCTTCTCCGCCTGGATGCCATCGCATCCCCCCTGTTTCCGGTGATCTTGGGCCTCCCTTGGTTACAAGCCCATGACCCGCAGATTAATTGGAAGTCTGGCTCAGTTCACTTCACGTCATCTTATTGCCAGCAGCATTGCCTCCCTAGTGCGTCTCCGGCACCGCAGGCTTTGCTCTGTCTGGATATGGAGGCAGAATTGGCTCAAGCCATTCCTTTAGCCTACCATAGTTATTTAGATGTATTCAGTAAGCGGGGGGCAGAGGTCCTGCCCCCGCACCGAACATATGACTGCCCGATTGATTTGCTCCCAGGCTCGGAGATACCTTTTGGGCGAATATTTCCGTTAACTGAACGGGAATTAGGGGTTCTAAAGGAGTATATTGACGAGAGTCTCCGCAAGGGGTTTATTCGGCCCTCCACTTCACCAGCTGGGGCTGGTATCTTTTTTGTGGAAAAAAAAGACAAATCCCTACGACCCTGTGTAGACTACCGAGACCTGAACAAAGTAACTGTCAAGAATCGTTACCCGCTACCTCTAGTCCCTGAGCTCTTTCAGAGATTAAAGTCAGCTTCTATCTTTACTAAACTGGACCTGAGGGGAGCATACAATCTAGTCCGCATCAGAGAGGGGGATGAGTGGAAAACAGCATTCCGCACTAGATTCGGGCATTTTGAATACTTGGTCATGCCCTTCGGCCTATGCAACGCGCCCGCCACTTTCCAACACTTCATTAATGATGTATTTAGGGACTATCTGGACATCTTTGTTGTCGTATACCTAGACGACATCTTGATCTTTTCCCCATCCTTAGAGGTCCATAGGGGGCATGTGAGGTACGTTTTGGAACGACTCCGCCAACACGGTCTATATGCTAAGGCAGACAAGTGCTGCTTTGAGCAGCATAGCATTTCCTTTTTGGGTCTGACCATTTCCACTACAGGTATAGCCATGGATCCCCAAAAGGTGTCAGCTATCTTAGATTGGCCTATACCCACTGACAAGAAGGCGGTCCAACGATTCATAGGCTTCGCAAACTTCTATAGAAAGTTCATTAAGAACTTTTCAGGTTTAGTTTCCCCGATTACTCAGTTAACCAGACAGGGGGTCTGTTTCCAGTGGACACCAGAAGCGCAGGAAGCGTTTACCACTTTAAAGAGGTTATTCACTGAGGCCCCTATCCTGAGCCATCCTGACTCATCTATGCCCTATATCCTGGAGGTGGATGCGTCTGAAAACGCAGTGGGGGCGATTTTGTCGCAGAGGAAGGGCGTTAAAGAGCTCATGCACCCAGTGGCCTTTTTCTCTAGAAAACTGACTTCCGCAGAAAGGAATTACGATATTGGGGACCGGGAGCTTCTAGCAATCAAGGTGGCACTAGAGGAATGGAGGTATTTATTAGAAGGGGCAGTACACCCAATATTGATATTCACAGATCACAAAAACCTGGAATATTTGAGGACAGCAAAGCGCTTGAGACCACGTCAGGCTAGGTGGGCACTTTTTTTTCGCGATTTGCTTTTCACATTACCTATAGACCAGGATCAAAGAATACTAAGCCCGACGCGCTTTCCCGTATGTTCGGGGACCCTGAAGAGACGCCCCGACCCGACACAATCTTGTCCTCAGGGAACTTTTTGATCCTACAATCTGAGCTCCGCTCCAGACTGCAGACCGCATCCATAGGCATGCCAGGCACACCCGGTATTTCCTTAGTGAATCGGGAGGGGCTTCTTTGGAAAGAAGGCCAGATTGTAGTTCCCGAGGAGACCCGTACCTTGGTACTTGGATACTGCCACGACCACCCGTTAGCGGGACATTTTGGAATACGCAAGACCCTGGAACTATTGCAACGCACCTTTTGGTGGCCCACTATGGCCAGGGATTGCGAGAAATATGTTAAGACTTGCACTGTGTGCCAGAGGAATAAAACTACCAGAAACAAGGCCTGGGGCCTATTACGCCCACTACCAATACCTGACAGACCTTGGAGCATGATCTCCGTTGACTTTATTGTAGAGCTTCCCCCCTCCCAGGAACACACAGCAATCTTTGTGATCGTAGACCGGTTGTCCAAGATGGCTCATTTTGTACCCTTAAAGGACACACCGACAGCCCATGAGACCGCACAGGTTTTTATCAGGGAGGTGGTAAGACTCCACGGAATCCCCAAGGATATTGTGTCAGATAGGGGGGTTCAGTTTACGTCTAGATTTTGGAAAGCTCTATGTGAGACGCTTGGGATTAAACTGTCATTGTCCTCTGCATATCACCCACAAACAAACGGCCAGACAGAACGAACGAATCAGACACTTGAACAGTACCTCAGATGCTACACTACCTTCCTCCAAGACGACTGGTTGACCCTCCTGCCGCTAGCGGAGTTCGCCTATAATAACGCGAGTCATTCTGCTACAGGCCAGGCTCCTTTTTTCGCAAATTATGGGTTCCACCCCACTTTTTTGCCGGATTTGATTCCGGAAGTCACGGTTCCGGCCACGCAGGACATGCTGAGCTTTTTATCCTCTAATAGCAAATTGCTCCAAGAGGCGATGGCAAAGGCCCAGGAGAGCAATAAGAGGGCTTTTGATAAAAAGAGAAGAGGGGAGTTGAGTTTGCGGCCGGAGGACCAGGTTTGGTTGTCCACCACAAATTTAAAGATGTCCTGCCCATCGAAGAAATTGGCTCCCAAATTCCTGGGTCCATTTCGGGTCAAACGCAGGATCAATGAGGTAGCATACGAGCTCGCTCTGCCTGAATCTATGAAGATTCATCCGGTCTTCCACGTATCCCTACTGAAACCAGCAACTCCAGACCCCTTCCCGGACCGAAGGTCTAAACCACCGGAGGCAGTAAACGTGGATGGGGAGGAGGAATTTGAAGTTGAGGCTATCCTGGATTGTAGGAAAAGGGGAGGCCAGACTCAGTTTCTGGTGAAATGGAAAGGGTATGGGGCGGAAGAAAATTTGTGGGAGCCGGCCCAAAATGTGCACGCCCCAAGACTTGTGCAGAGATTTTTTCGGAACCAGGCATTAGGAAGGGGTCGGTTGGGCATCCGGAGGCTGCCGGTAGGAGGGGGGCAATGTCAGGGATCCCGGCCCGCTCAGCGTCGCGCGCATGCGCAGATCACCGACTCTTCCTGGCCGGCGAATACAGAGATCGCGGCGGCGGCCGCGCATGCGCAGTAGCGATCGCGGCCGCGCCAATGGAAACTCAGGGCGCCCTATTTAAATCTGCCCTGTGCATTTCCAAAGTGCCGCAAGGTCTTGTTCCTGTTCCTGTGTTCCTGCTAGTACGTTTCCTTGTTGCCAAACTCTGCCTGTTCTGATTTCGCTGACCCTCTCCTGCTCTGACCCCGGCTCGTTCCTGACCATCCCTCTGACCGACTCTCTGTACCAAGCTGCCCGCTACCTGCTGAACCTGGCTTGTGACCCCGACCATTCTCCGCTTGCTCCCTCTGTACCACGCTGCCCGCACGATACCGACCCGGCTAGTCTGACCTCGCTCACTCCTAGCAGTCGTCCA